AAAATTCTTATTAATTACATGGTTCTACTGATCATTTTCAAGAATATAAGTTTTCTTTTCTTTTTTTAAATTTCTAGACAACTGGGAAAATATGCATAATACTGGAAGCTACCCTGCTGGGATATGTAAGTAAACAAATTTTGGCAGACTAAGTTGTTAATTATTCTGCTTGTTATAGCAAGGTAATTACAATTCTTGCTAAGGGTGAAGAATGACTTTCATAAGTATTCAGTAGAATTTAATAACAAAGTAAGAGCATGTGAGCAAGTTTTAATGATGTTGGATAGAGTCAACTTCAAAGAGTGGGCATACTGAGGTAATTTAATTAAAAACTTATGGAATATGTGGATAAAATATGCTCTTGACTGGTTATTAGCCAAGAATATGCTCTTGACTGTCTGTTAGCCAAAGTAACATGTATAAGGTCAGTCTGCAATACAATAACAAGAGTGTCCTTGTAGCAAAAATGGTAATGGTTGAAAAATGCAGTCAGAAAAACACTATTTTTAAATTGTGAAGAGAAGACAGTCAGTCAGCCTTTGGCTGCTCCTAACTATGCATATCCTAACTTCATCTGAACAAATAACTTCTGATATCGTCCATGCTTTTCAAATGCAGACTGGAGAGCTGAAAGCCACTTAAAAGGCTGGCAGAGGAAACAAAGAAACCTGAGCAGTTGCATTTTTGCTAGGAATATCACTGGTGATGTTAACTTATATAAACTGTGAGGGTTGGACATATACTCCAAACCAGAAGGGCACAGGCAAATTTCCATCTGTGATAGCAGCTCTTTACCTGAAGGAATCCTCATCTGGTACAGCAGTCATTACTGCATCCTAAGCAGGTATGACACTCTTCTTTCAAAGCTTTGCTTTTGGAAAGTTCTTTTGGACAAAGACTCTTACAGGAAAAATCACAATTCAGTCCTTCAAAGGGCTTCTGTTGCTTCCTGAGCAGCATGGTGCACCTGGTGACAGCAATTAGGAAGAGGGGCTTGGCACATCTCTGTAAAGGCAGGGATTATGCAGTGGTGCACACAGCAGTAACTGGAGAAAATGGGTTTCTATTAAAGGAAAGGGAAAGGCTGGGAGAATAAGATGCTGTTGGAGATGAGGGCTTTCAGCAGAGTCTCTCCCCTATTCAGAGGCTGGGAGTGGTTAGACTCATTGAAGGAGCAGTAAAGAACTGTGAGAAGAAAAGCAAGGGTGCCATAGAAGGTTGTTCTGTGCAAAGTAGCCACTGATGGTTTCAAATATGTAAGGCAGAAGATCAGGGTGTAATTCCACCTGCTTAACAATGCATGCTGCTCCTCCTGCTGATCAGGTCTGTAGCTAGATTAGCAAATTTTGTGATCCCCTGCCTCACAAAATTTGTGAGCTCCCCCCGCCAAATTTTGTGAGCCCACTTGCACAGCAGGGTGCGAAGAGCTTGGCTGACCCTGGGTCAATGCACAAGTATCCAGAGGAGGTAAAAGTTGAGTTCTATCTGATGGTGGCTTGGAGTCGTACAAGGTCTTGGAAGAGGTATAAACCAGGGAACAGCAAAACAAAAAAATTATCTGTGAAATGTTCATCAACAAACATGTCAAACCAGATTATGATTACCCAGAGAAGGGCTGGTACATCAAACAGGAGCTTGGCTTTCTGATGAGCGCGGCTTGCTGCGTGTGGGGTATTTGGCAGCCGTCTTTGTGGGAGACTGCAGAACTTGCCTAGAAGAAAATATGGTGAAGGGCTATTTTCAAAGAGCTCTGCTGACCCCACAGAAGCTATTTGTGGCTATGATTTCTGTCATATTCCTTCATGGCATTTTTCTGTTTCAACAAAAATGCTACATTGTGTGTCTTCATGTGGTGAACTGAGATGTGCTAGAGAAGAGGAAAAGTTCATTTCAAACTTGCATGTTGAAACATTTAATACAGCGTGAACTTATTTTCTCTTTAAACTAAATATATATTTGTGTACATTAAAAAAGTGCTGATTTTAACTGTTTTTGTTTCTGATCTGGGAACTCAAAGGGCAGTCATCTGAACAAATTTTTGCTTTTGACTGAGCTATTATTACACCTTAGAGACCTGAATGGTTCCAGTGTGTGAATTTGAAGGTAATTTGACAAGACATGTGGAATCCAAGGTAGTAGAAATACAGATAGAGGCTCATTTTCTTGCAGCAAAAAAAAATTAAGAGCATAACCTGGCTTGAAATGCCGACTCAGCAACAAGGTGCCACAAAAATTTCTTCCCAAACATTGTGGCATTTGTTAATGCCAGAAAACCTCACAAAAGTTAAAGAATGTGATTGAGATGTTCAAAGCAAGATTCTGAATTCTACTTCTAGCTCTGGTGATGACAGTTCCTGGTATGTCTATGCACGAAAAGAAAAGCATTGATATTATATGCATAGGTCTACCTTGCTGGCAAAATCCAGTAGCATGTGTGAAAATAATAATCAAGACTCAAAACGGCAATATATTAGCACATGCCAGTAACTACACTAATAACTTTCCAAGAATCCTGGCCATGTTAGTTTACTTTTCAGCATGTCCCAAAGGCCAGGCCACCGATTCTTCTTGGCTGATGCAGCTGCAAACACCTTCCCTCATTTTGCCTTGATGCTAGTAGCACAGTGGAAATCCTGAGATCTGTAGATTTAGATATCTAAAGAGGGAAATTGATTTGCATTTCATTCTGATGGTATCTGAACTTGCTGCCATACTCTGGAGAATGTATCACGGGTGCTCATTCTGGCAGCTGTGCACCCCCACACTCTCCTGGTGTCTCTCTCTGACTCAGAACACGCTCTGTCACCTGGGTGGCCAGAGATGCTGGCAAATGAAAGCAGCATTTCAGAGTGAGTACACAGAGATGAGGAGGTGGTAATGCAAATGGGTAATTCAGAAGTAAAAGCTAGGTAGTTGTTCAAAAGTAATAATTAAGATTTATCATGTGTAAAATTCTCTCACCACATCTAAACCAAGGAGTGTTTTGGAACACCTGTGCTTTGCTGTTGGAAGCTCATTTGAGCTGGAAAATTCTTCCTCCAGAGGCAATTTATTACCCATGTAACGGATGCTATTCTGTTGAATATGTAGCATATTGAGGTTTGGCTACCAGCTTCACTCTTTCAACGCAAAGTGAAAATATGGAGATTGTGGGTTTGGAAGAATTTATTTTATTGATGTGGAAAACTGAGAATTTAACTTGGAAATTCTTTGATTAACTCCTGATTCTGTTTATGCAGGAAAAAGTCTGTTAATGTTGGAAATTAAGTTCAAATGTGTTCAATAACAAATTCCCTTCTTCAGAGGCAGTTCTTGTTTCACCTTTTGATAGGACATCATTCCCCGAACAAAAAGTCTGTCTTTCAATAGGCTGCTATCAAGATTTTGTATTTTCATATTTTACAAAGTTATATACTTTACAAATGAAAAAAGTGAAGGTTTGAGAGGCAAAAAGGGAACATTTGCTCTGTCTTACTGATGTGGTTTTAAACTGTTGAGAACAATTAAGATGCCATCAGCTCTGAAAAAAACCACATTGAACTGTGTACTCTGAATCAGATTAAATAACTTGATTTTTGTATGAACGATTTGCAGTGTATTTCCACAGTTTTAGAACACACTTCCCTGGAGTGAATGCCTACCAATCTGACTGATGCAGAAGATTAGAGAAACTATAAAACTAGAAATCTAATAATTTCATCTTTTCTTCCTAAATGCTTATTTGAAAAAATATTCTGGTTTCTTTTTGTATTTTAATTTCAGTAAGCACAGGAAAACAGGTATGACTCTTCATTCTGTGTATAGAAGTGCAAGAAATTACCTCATTAGACTGTTCACATTTATCTGGTGTTTGACTCTTGTAAAACACATACAAGACATTGTGAAAAGACTAATCACAAAATGAAATTAATTAATATGAAACAGCTGTAGTGCAGTCACTGGTCTTTAAATTTCAAATGTTCCAAAGTGATCAGAATTTTACATTCCTTGTTCTTGTTCACCTCAAAATGACAATGGCAAGTATGTTTCTATTATCAATTCACAGTGGTTTGATTTACACTGCATTTAATTACAGCAGTTTTGATATTGTTCTTAGTTTTGAATGGATTGCAAATATTTTTCTTGTAAAATGAAATATAAGGGTTGCTTTATTTTAGCTGCAAATTAATAGGAGTTTTTAAACAAAACCAGTTAAAAGTAAATCAGTTTGATTATTCCCTGATGTGGATAGCCCAGATAAGCTTTTGTCTTGAGGCCAATCATCTACCAGTCCTAAAGGAAGGACTAGATTTATGTGTTCTCTCCTTACCTCCTCCTTTGTACATTCATATTTGGATTAATGTCTTTGCAAATGTTCTAGGGAAAATGCCAGATCTGCAAAGACAAAGAACAGGTATTGCTATTTTTGCTGTGAAGCTTAAGTTTATATAATGCAGAATGACAGGCTGCTTGTGCAAATGCAGCCGTACAAGTAAACAAAGTGGAAGGAAATATCTCAGAAGCCTACACCAGCAGATAAACTTAGCCATAAAAGGTCTGGAGAACAATTTGTGGGCTTTAAAGGTAAGTGTTGAACTAGAAATTGGTGTGTTCATACAGTTTGTTGCTATTGGGAGAAAAAGAATAATAACAGTACACAGTACTGATTGAACCCATTACTTGAAGGTAGTTATTAAGGCAAATACTGAAAAACTATTAGCTCAAAGGCATGTGGTGACATGTAAGGGGCTTATCAGAATTGTATCATTCTGTAAACAAAGCTGCGTATCTCAGATTTCACAATGACTGCTTCAGACATGGCCTTTCAATTAAAGCACAAACTCTGCTAGTATGGAAGAGACAGGTCACATTTCAAGAACTGTTTATCAAACAAATATAAAATCAGGGCTATAGGTTTGTTTTGCTTTATTTCTTTCAATTTTTAAATTTCTTTTAATGCTGTATTCATAATGTGAATTTCATGTGGATTATATGGATACTTTGTCATTTGTATTTGTCATTCAGGGTCCTTTTCCAAGGCTTGTTATCAAATCAGCTGCAAAAGCTGTATTTGCTTCCAGCTAAGGTGACTGTCCCATTCTTGTCATGGAGGCTTCCTAATCACTGGCTTCCAAATGCTTCAGTCTGCAGATAATAAAAAGAGAGAAACCATGAAATAAACAGCAGGGTTTCCCCTTTCATACAAGACTACATGTGTTTCCTTATTTATACAGGAGTGAGGAGAATTGGGTCTGTCTCGATTTTTCTTCTTCACCCTCCAGTTCTTATTTCAGTTCCTTTCATCAGCTGTGCAATTGAAAACAGTCTTCTTCCAAGCTCTCAGCATGGACAACAGGAGGTGTGAGAGTCGTAACACATGATAATGCCAATTAAATCTCTATTCTGTATCATTACCATATCCAGCTTGAAGTTGCTCTTTCCCTCTTGGCTGTTTGTTCAAAAGACATTGTCTTGCTGCATAAACCTGCCCCATTAATGGCCCCAGTCCTTGTCTGAGGACAGTGACTGCAGTCACCCTGCCATGGGGGACACCTCCTCATGCCTGAGGTGGTCAGTGAGTGACTTTGCTTTTTTCCACTCAGCATTGCTTTCTGTGTTGCCATTCAACTCAGTTCTCCCGCTCCTCTCATTGGGTCTGCCTTTGTACTCTTTAACTTATTTGCACACTCTTTTGAGTGTGGTGGTGGAATTACCTTGACTTCCAGCACTAGCCTTGATTAGTGCACAGAATTCACAATTCTCCCAATTCCCACAGTAAATGCTGTGCACTTGGGGTCAGTTTGGAACCAATATACAAAATGGCTGAATGATTCCAGGTCACCATAGAAGCACAGTGGGGGGCTTTAGTTCCAGTTCCCACATCCTAAGTTGCTTCCATAACTTACTTGGTTATTTCCCCTCTCCTGTGTTAGTGCTGGAAAGGAAGCGGTGCTGGGGCTGCTCTTGTGCCTTACTCCTACAATGGGTGCTGTGCCCTGCAACCTCACCATTGCCTCAGGTACCCCCATGCAGGGCACAGCCTTACCTTAAATAAACTTCACGGCATGCAGCGAGTAAACCTCTCTGATCATCTTACAGTATGCTTGTGCAACAGCACAGAAGTTGGCACGCATTTTTTCTCTTATGAGCTTACCTCCAGGAAGATGAGAAACCACAAGGAATCTGAGTGCTTTGAACATAGGCTTTGCATGGAATTCCTACCATCTCTCCTGATAAACAGTTGGAATCAAAGTTATTTTCAGATGTCCCCAAAGAATATTTTCAACAGATTGCTGAGATCATGACTGATAGCTTTATTAGTAAGAAATGTAGTTAATTGCCTGTTCAGCAGCAATAAAAAATATGATGGCACATATTTTTCAGCCAGATCTTTCCTACATTTTTTTCCTTCCCTTCAGACTTTCCTCTGGCACACATGAATGAATGAACTGTGCAGCCCTTTGCCATTGCCAAATTCCTTCTTATCCTGCTTTGTAGATGAAAAGATGAGGAATCTATGTATCTGCTTTGTATCTCTCACTGCAGGCAAGTGTCCCCATTATCACCAAGAAACACACCAAGGCTTGGTTAGGATTTTAGGTACAGCTTTGCTGTGTTCAGGCTCAGGTCAGAGCTCAGCAGGCTGTTGCCAGCTGGATCTAAACCTCATGACCACTTGAGGAAGACAGGCAGTATTCCAGACTTGAACATACTAAGCTACTGTGACACTGGCATGTGTGCCTCCTTTTGATCCATTTTATCAAGCTAGTAAACACAATTGCAAGTCTTAGGTCTTGAGCAGGATCTTGAATTCCACAGCCAAACACTACACTTGCAGAAGTGCTGAATTAGTCTCCTGGTTGTGGCTGGAAGGTTGAATGTTAGTATTTTCAACATGTTCTGTAAATCAGGTCATTCAGAGCCATTTGAATTTACTATACAGTTCTCAAAATCAGGGCCAGGATATTACTTTGAAAAAGTAATTTTTTATCTGCTGTAAAATCAGTGGCACACAGAACATTTAATACAGAGAAGGGGCTAGGCTGGAGATTTCTAAATATATAAAGTACTTAATTTCAACACCACAGAGACAAAATGAGGGCCATTCCTACCCCTGCTCTGCTGTCAGTTGGCTATTTACTTGCAACAGGAGGGCTCTGATCTGCAAGTTGTCTCTATTAAAAACAAATAAGGATAACAACCTAATCCACTACCTGCAGTCTATTAACAATGTTCTAGGCTTGAGTATGAATTTTCAAATGCAATTTGAGAGGTGACATAAGGTGACAGAGCTTTGAAAGTAACTGAATTCAGAGGCAATAGCTGAAGTCTGTGGAAAGACTCATATTCTTATTTAACTGGGAATTTCTCAGTGATGGACATTGTCCTGTTTGCTGTCCAAAATCTTCCATCTGATTCTTTACCTGTCTCACATATCAACAAGATTATCTACAGAGAAATTTGGTAAGAAAAGGGGGCCCAGAGTTTTATTTTGCTTAATTTTATTTCAAGGTAGCTTCTGATGGTCTTGTTGAAATTGAAATAAACCTGGCTGACTTTTATGTAAGTTTCCAGGTAGTTTGGATTAGGTATAATAGTTGAAAATAAAATCTGTAAACTAGTTTGATGGAAAGTGTAGGCTCTTGGCTGTTCTGCTGTAAGGATTGTTCTTTCCTATGTAACCTCTGCTAAATGCAGCAGAGATGGCTCTGTGACTACTGATGTAGTGGGTTTCAGAAGCCCAAAGTTTGTTTATATTGAGAAGAAATGTTTTAGCAGAAGTTATTTTTACCTGCTGTTTTAAAAATACTTCTTCTCAGAGCAGCAGAAAAAGGGATGTGTTGCTCAGCAAGCCACAAAGCATTATTTAGTCCTTAATTTTCTTTACTATTTCTTACTTCTGGCTCTGCATGCAGCTTCCGTGGGTGCAGGCTCCAGCCTTAATGGCCAAAATCTGCTTCCTAACTGCTGAAGAATCAGGCCCTACTGGCACTCCATTGCATTGAGCAGGAAAGAAAATATCCTGAAAGGTGCCCCAGCATAAGGGAATGGGAGAGTAAGTGTAAATAAAGCAGAGGCTGGGCAGACCAACAAGAAATGTTTAACATTCCATGCTCTCCACAAAGGGCAGGTCAAGGAAAGGGAATGAGTGGTTGGGATGAAGCACATGCCACGGATATTTTTCAAGCACATTTCAGCAGAGTATATCTCGTCACGTAAACATCCACAACAAACAGAACAGCCTTGTTCTTGAATGTGGCAGACCTCCTGAGGTCCCTCTATATACAGAGGAGATGGGTCTCACTATGCAGGGAAGCCACAGCTGCTGAATTCGCAGCTGCAGTTTGAATTCACAGGCACAAATTATACTGAAAGTGCTGGACATTCTCAGATATGGCCAGCTGAACAATTGCTTGCTCATGCCCAAGTCAAACCAATGTATTGTCAAGCTATGTGTACTCTGTGTCTGGGCAGGTAGGAGGTGGAAGAAGCGAATTTGTTGTAAGTCATATCTCAGGGTCTGGGGGAAAGCTAAAACCCCCCTAAATTAAAGTTCCATATGTAGTGGGCAAGACTTCTTCTTTCGTAGTGGGCAAGACTTCTTCTTCTTTCTTATTCTCAAGTGCAATCCAAATTAATTTAATGAAAATCAGTTATTAAATCTGTCTTTGTATAGACTTGAAGCAACAGTTCAAGTCACTCAAGACTTTGAATTTGTGAGACTGCAATAATTTAAAAGCCATAGGAGATTAAAATTTTATTTTAAAATTTATTTTTGGTTTATATTGAAACTTAACACATAACACATTTAATAGCAGTTGGGAATGCAGACAGAGAGTTTTCCTCTCCCCATCTGTTCTCTCCCCCCTACTCCCTTGCCATAATTTCTGTCACCTTTCTGCCTTCTCACTGAGATGTATCAACTACTGTATTTTTTAAACTAAGTTTGTGGGCATTATTTTCAGTTTCTCTAAATGGAAGCTGAGCTTAGATCTCACCAACACAGATTCTTTGTCCAGTTTCTATTTAAGTACTGTTTACTTTTCCTTAATGGAGTTGGGTGTCTGAACTTGGAATACTGGCACAAACAGAGTGATAAGAGGTTCTTACTGCTTGGGCATGTCCTCTATCCAGTCTGACTTACCAACAGCACGTACTGTCCTGAAGCATCTGGAATACCAGATGTTTCTGCTGACACTCAAATGGGGAGAGTATGGACATGTAACACAAATGTTTCCAACATAACCCTTGCAGGAGTGGAAACATGGAAACCTCTTATAAGTACTCTCCAGTCTTTATGCCTGAGTCCTTTAGCCTTTTTGCCCACTGGTGTGTCATCATTCCCAGGAACAGATCTCTTAGGGCAGCAAGATTTTTCTTTGATTATATCTTATGATTTGTGGTCATACACTTTGTATGAAATTCCTATTCACACTGGGGAAAATCCATGTAAAGATCAATGGCTGTGCAATCTTAGGTATGCAGTCATCTGCCAGGAGCAGACATTGATTTAGTTCATAAAACAATGGAATTACTCTCTGCAAAAGGAAGATAAATCATTAAAAGCATGTTAAGACATCAGACAGGAAAATGTAAATAACCATACATAACAGCAGCTGGTCCTGATCAGGTTCCATTCTTTGATCTTTAGAAACATGGCTATTAATTAGCAGGGTCAGCACTAAGCTTTTTCTTGGAACAATGATCTTCTGAACCGCCCAAATAATAGATAGTTGCTTGCAGCTTTGCTATGCTAAGCTTCTTGGGAAGGATTCTTCAGATAAAAGGAATAACAAAATTACCTTAATATAAAGGTCTGAAGTTAGGTCACATTTGCAGTAGATAGAGGATACATTTTATTGAAAACTAATCCTGAATCCTTTGAAATCATGTATGAAGTTAGTTCCAATCATACTGAAATTGCAGGTAATTGCTACTGAGATTGCAATCACTGCTTGACATGAATATCTACCTGCTGTGCCAGGTTCCATCTGGCAACATAAAAGTCACCACATTACAGACTCTAAGGTTGCTGAAACTCTCCTGTTAAGCTGTATTTCCATTTTGCACTACTGGTTGGAAAAATTTTCTTTGAATGCATTGGATAAACTGCAGAGTCCTACTAATGCCCACATGATTGGACC